CTGGCTCTCCTATTTTGATTTGCCCTTGATGTGCACTATTCAGAATGGACATCCTTTCATCGAAATTCCCAATATTTATTCCATAATCTTATTCTTTGTATTGAAATATGAAGAAAAATAAATTTTTTCAAAATTTTAGCAAAAAACGAAGGCTATAGCCTTGGTATTTTCGGCGAAAATATCAATTTTTTGAAACTTGAAAAACAGTGCTTTTTTGAAGCACAGTTAAACTTTATGTCCAATTTTACTGATGATAGGTGGAGCTTCCTGAAAGTGGTATAATTTAATGATGATAGGTGGAGCTACTTGAAAGTGGTATAATTTAATGATGATAGGTGAAGCTACCTGAAGGTGGTATAATTTAATGATGATAGGTGGAGCTACTTGAAAGTGGTATAATTTAATGATGATAGGTGAAGCTACCTGAAGGTGGTATAATTTAATGATGATAGGTGGAGCTACCTGAAAGTGGTATAATTTACTGATGATAGGTGGAGTTACCTGAAAGTGGTATAATTTACTGATGATAGGTGGAGTTACCTGAAAGTGGTATAATTCGATAATAAGTAGTGAATCAGAAATTTGTTGGTTCAACAGTTAATATATTAAACAATTTGTATGACGGAGTAACACACAAAAGGAAGTTAGTAGTAATAATTATGAATTATCATGCAATTCCTGTACAGAGATAAAATTACTGTGAAAATAAATGACACAAAGAAACAAATCACATCAACTATTGTAACGATTTGTTAACACTAAGTCATTTCACTGAAATTATCTTTAAATATTTATCCTCACATACAAGGTCGATTAGGTGCAGATAGCTGACCGACCATAATAAATCCCGATAGTTGTTATATATATGAATATATGAAAGTACCGTCTATACAAAGATAATAATGCTGATATGAATTATTAAAGTCACTTAAAATGACGACGAGGACAATTATTTAGTTTTAGTGTATTTCACATTATTAATATTTCACTACCAATCATTAAATTGTGTTTATTCACTTGAGTCACTGTTTTATTTTTGTTTTCCCATCGTTCTCTTAAAACATCTCATTATCAGCCAGTGATTAACAAAATCACTGTTTACTGGAGAAGAACGCTTTGTTGTTTTTCTAAAGAACATTCTTGATTTGATTATTTAGTGAGAATATTTCTGTTTCTTATAGTTTCATTGCTTAAACACTTCATCATTTTATAACATGTTAACTTAACTCATGTTATTATTTATTTTGAGATCATAAATCTCCTCAGTATTATGAAAACGTTTTTCCAGGAAGCTGAAAGAAATGTAACGTTTGTTTTAGTGATTCGTGTTTGTTTTAAATGTTGTTACGACATCGAGGTCACGTGACTAGTATCACGCCACATCATTCTCGAACCTTCGTGAATTGTCGGGAGATTACTAGATATAGTGTAGTCTTGTATATATAAGACTGGCCACGAAGCGACGAATAGGTGATGAGTAATTGAATGTATGCGGACAGATTATTGTTGGCCACGTGAGACGTGAGTTACAGCGTTGTTATAGAGCGACTGTTGAAATTAAGTGTATCGTAAAGTTGTATTCGGAAAGAATAAACCAGTTTTATTTAAGAAAGGACTTGTGTCGCTAAAGTTTCGTCGAGCAAATTTACGGAAAATTAACTAACGAACGGAGACGTAACAATATTATTGTTTACTCTAAAATACAACCATTATACTTTTAATAAAGATATAAAGATGGAGCATTACTAGCTCTGTATAAACTTGCAGGATCGTAATGTTAAATGTAGACACCCAACCCCTGTTGTGACACGGCAATAATTTCATACAGGAGAGCTTTTATTTGATGTGTGCCCAAGAAATACACGAATCATTGCTGAACCTGTACATAATTTGTTTTTATCTAGAAAACCTTGGAGCTTTATATTTCTGGATCATGAATATACTCTTCCAAATAAGTTTTTTTTTATATTTAGAAATATATGATTCCGGTAACAAGCAAACAGTCCAAAATACTTTAAGATATATTATACACGCTAACTCTAGTAAAACGGTAAAATGTTAGCTAGGGAAGATGAACCCCAGCGCTTTAAAAAGTCATCATTGTTAGGAGGAAGATATTAATTTTCTTTTATCATAAATAATTACACTATGATGAGAAAGTATTAAATTATTAAAAATATTATAATACATATATATATTTATTTAAATTACATAATATATTTTTCATTCCTCACTAACAGTATGCTTTACTTTTTAGGCAAAACGAGAATGAAAAATATGTCACTAGATGGCAGAGTATACATCTTTGTATACATTTGTTTGTTGTATTTTAATATCGCGCAAAGCTATTATATTCGAGAGTTATTTGGACTTATTTTGAAGTGATAGACCAGGGAGAAGTAAGCCTGTAAACACGTCTGTTAGCATCACCTCTCGAGCTTCTCTTACCAACGGAAAGGAGGTTAGTTTCATATGAATTAGCTTAAGTAATTGATGAATGTTGGCTGTTGTACCTTACAGTTCAGGTGTACAAAAATCACTGTAGTATTGTATGACGTGACGAATCTGTTTACAAACATAAAGGTTTCTAGGTGATTCGCTATGAAACTTTGTGTTAAACATGTAATGTATATTTTGTAAAGAATAATCTTACACTCGATATTAGTACATATTTTAGCTATCTTGTGATAAGCATAACTTCTTATATAATTGTTATATTTCCATATAACTTGTTGTCCTTTTCAACAATAGGGGAAAGTGGTTAATATCACGGTGAATCCTACTTTTCGGTACTAAAAAAGTAGTCCGAGATTTAGCAGTAGGTTCGTGGCTGAGTACTAACATAAGAATAAGTTAGCAAATTGGATAGAAGAAAGCAGAGGGTTGTTACAAGTGGAGTTTAGTCAAACTGGATTAATGTCACAAGTGGGGTACCCCAGGGCCCAGTCTTAGGACCTTTGCTCTTTTAGGTTTACAACAATGACGTAGATGAAAGAATGGTCAATAAACTACTTAAGTTTGCTCATGATATTAAGGTCTTGGGTGTTGCTAGCTGTGAAGAGGATGTTGCTGATTTACAAAAGTATTTAGAACATTTAGTGATTTGGGCAAATAAATAGTAGATGGGTTTTAATTATAATAAATACAAGATAATGCACGTGGGTTATCATAATATGAATT